GTCTTATTTTTTCCAGGAAGAAGAATTCACATTTATTATTGAACAAAAAACTTCCCAAGTCGAACTTAGACGAGAGTGACGTATATCCGGTGTGTCGAACTGTCGCCTTTTTATAGCGTCAACATCGGACTCGCTGACCAATTAGTGCTTACTGAACCGTAGCACTATGCAAATGTCATGTGGCGTGATTCCCAGCCGACCAATTAGCCATCACCAACCTTCTTGGCCCTCGAAATGTTTGGTGAAGAAAATATGGCCCGCGAGCTATGATAAGTTGGACAGTGCTGCTCTAACATAAAAATTACAATTGTATATATTCTAAATCAGGGGTGACTGATTTTTGTATACATAAGACCTACTTTTTATCTTAAAAATGTGTCACGATCGACTTGTTGCCATAGGTATAAAGTGGGGGGAGATGTGAAATACATACTATGTTTATACACTGTGTTTCAGTATGAGGTGCACTCTCGCGAGCTATGTGTAGATACATTAAGCAAAATATATGTTCAAAACTATTTTTTATTTTTTAAATCACTTATTAAGTTTTTGAGATATAGGCTCATAAAGAAAATAAATTTCCAGACCCAACTTTTGATATTGATATTTGCAGCCAGGAGTTCATTCCATATAGGCAGTACCTAAAAAAGTCAATTTTTCAAGATAGATGTTTAGTAACTTAAAATATAATTTAATTTTTTTTATCAATTGCAATGTATAAGTTGTGGTATGAATGTAATTTGATATCAAACCCTCGTTAAAAAACAATTAACTGTTAATCACACATCATTAAAGGTTGATTAAAATCACGGTAAAATTTTTTTGCACAGGTAAAAAGTTTTGAAAAAATTCAAGACTTAGAAAACATCTGAAAATAAAAAAAATTTCAATGGCCCAAATGCCCATTTGTTATTTAATGCTATGTAATCAACTCGAAAAAACTTGAGCATGGGTTAGAATAATTAATGACTGAAGTTTAGAGGTCTGTTGTTGAGAACACTCACTTATCAAGTAAATAGATAGGTAAGAAAAACCACAATTTAATTTAAAACATAAAGAAAAGGTACTTACATTTTAAACAGAAGAAAATTTGAAATTCAATGTTGTCACCATGGATAAATAATATTGATTAATAATAATATTGTTTAATACTAAAGAAAAGAAGCTACCATATGACAGTACCAAATATTCAAGCTAAATGGCTGTGGTTTTCTATGAGTTGAGTCATAACTGCATGCATACTGTTGCGTTTGCACGTTATGTTCGGTTACAAGTGTAACACATTAAATCAAGACATCGCAAGCGATCAACCAAATTTGGCTTTGTGATCGACTTGTTGGCCATCCTTGTTCTAAATCATTCTAATCTGTTAAATTAATTGTTCTAAACTGAAGACGATCATATATTTGACTGAAAACATTTTTATTATAAAAAGTGTTGACTACCTGTTGTTTGATTTATGTCTTTATCCATACTAAAGACAAATTTTATCATAAATTTATGTGTCTACTAATTTTATAGTTGCTTGAATGTTACTTGCAATTTTTTTTTTTAATCAAATTTATCATTTTATATAAAAACTTACATAGATTTTCTCAGAAATATTCATATTTTCTAACAAGTATCAGAATTTTCAAATATTGTATATTAATTACAAACAGTTTAATTTGATATCAATTAGAATTTCTTAAGTATTAACTAATTGGGCTGCAATTTTCGAATTGCATTTCCACTGTTATCTATTTGGCCTCTATTAATTTCGAAATTAGAGTTAGATAGATGAAAATGAAGACTAGATATGGAAAGCTAAGGGGTTGGAGGCCCTCAATTAACTATGTATAAACTTTCAGCCTGGACCATTTCAATTCAAAAATTTTACCTTGCTATATAGAGTAGTAAATTTCGTATAGAACTGAGCCTTATAATAAACTGAAAGCAATAATATAGCACTCAACTCTCTAAGGTGTACAATATTCACATGATCTCATACTTTCTGTGATTAAAGTCACTGAAAAATAAAGTTATCATAGAGAAAAAGTAATTGCAGTTTCAGATTTAGTGTCAAAAGTTATATTTATTTTTAAATTAGCTGCAAGTACCCACTTCACTGGGTTTTTATTTGTTCATACATTATATGTAATAAAATTTTTTTATATATATAAAAGACTATTTCTCTTCCTCTACATAATCTTNATTAATACAATTCTAATTTTATTTTGTTTAATTACAAATAAATTATCATCAAATGCACATATTAAGGCAAACAACCATGTTTTCTAGACGCTATCACCTTTTGTCTACTGGGACTCACCCTTCAAAGCTTTGTTACAATTCTCCTCTTTTTCACTCTTACTCCACAAAGCATCATCCATTGATCTATTCAGTGAATTTAAAATGCAGTATTTCCTGAATGATTGCTATCAGCTCTTGAAGATTGCTTTCCATGCACCTGATATTGATGTAGCAAAACCAAAAGATTATAATGCATGTGACTGGAAAAAGTTTATTTTTAATGATTCGGAATGTACAAATATTCATTAAAAATACCAATTTAACAAATATGAAATAACTACATTTATAATCATTGCTAAGTGACCAGCTATTCTCGGATCATCTCTTTAAAAGTGACATTCACTTTGACCTTGATAACACTCTGCTATAATGGCAGCATGAACTATACACGGTTCGCAAAAATTATTGCAAAAATGAAAAGAATGCTTTACTTGCAACCTAGGTTTTGAAGAAGTGAAAAATGAATAAAAACTTTGTCTTATATGCAAGTAAATATGGTATTTGAGTATTTTTTTCGACATGGAACACATTATCATATTTTACATTAATTTCTGTGGGAAAAATTGTTTCGTTTAACAAGTGTATCGCATTATGAATAAGGTTCTGGAATGAATTATGCTCGTTAAGCAAGGTTCCACTGTATTATGAAAACAGTGCTAATATTGATTGGGTTGTTTACTAACAAGTATATTAAGAAATGTTTCAACAGTATAGAAAAATATAATAAAGTGAATTTTTTTTGATATACTGAGTAATGAGGAGGAAAAATATAATAAACTTATGAAATTGGATATATTTATAGATTAGAAATTATTGATATAGCCATAAAAAATAAGGAAAAATATTACATAAAAAGTATAAAATGATGACTTGAGAATGGGATTGCAATGTGAAAGAGTTTTGTTAATACTTGTATTTCAATAAAGAAAACTCTCAATACTGGAATATTGGTATTAAAACTGATATTCAGAATTTTTTTATATTTTATTCAATCCAAATGAAAACTTAATTAAAAACTAATAAATAATGAACAAGGTGCAGAGATATTAAATATAACAATTAATAAAATATTAATATCTTTTGAAATAATTGAGCTGGGAATGACGTTTTTGCCAACCTGTATATACTCTGAATTACGTTAGTAAATCTTCCATAAAATTTAATTGAAATTTGGCTGGATTGGCAAAAACTGAAGATATTTTATCACCTATCAGTGTCGGGATTTTTAAATCAAGGTTTCAAATATCTTTGAATCATAAAGAGTCTAAAAGAAGTTGAAATTCAAAGTATTATTTTCTGTTCACTTTCATTCCCATCAATAGTTCCAAGAAGAAAATAACAAATATGATAGAAATTTAAAAAACATATATGTATAATTATTTTTAATATATATTATGGAAATAAGTGAATTTAAATTGGGGGTCGGATAATCGAGGCTCTACTGTAGTATAATATTTTACTGATTCTAAATTCAGTAAAAATGTTGAAAAGAAAGAAAATTTTACATAGAGAAACTAATAACAATATGTTAAAGTATACCACATAATTAATTCATTGCATTTGTATTATTTTTAATGGAAGTAAATATGTATATAGATTGGGAATCCTTTATCTGAAATGCTTGGAACTAAAAATGTTTCGGATTTTTTTTTTCAATTTCAGAATATTTGCATCTGATTTGATTTATATTAGTTTGATTTTACTTTTTTATGTTGCTTATTTAGTGATTATTATTAACTAGAAATTTCCCCATCAAGCATGACTGAATACTTTTTATTCAAAAGTAGAGATTGAAGAATTGAGAAGAGTAGAGATTTCAAAAAATTCAAGATCTTTTTAGATCTAGAATTTAAATCATTTTTTTGACAAAATACCAAGTCTTTTTAATTTCACATTGATAAAACAAAGATGAATTGCATGTACGTCAATTAGATGAGTGATAACAATTGAGAACTAAATTTGATTCCTGTATATATTAGACTATGTCTATATTGAAAATATATATTGAAGTAGAATCATTAATCTAAAGTAAGAAAACATTTACTTTAAATTAAATTCGAATAAATGCATACATTACTTATAACTTTTATTATTTTTGTTTACTGCAAATACTTCTTAATGTTAACTACTAATGTAAATTAAAACTATAATTTTTACAAAAAGTATTTTAATTAATGGAATAGTTTTTATTATAAACAATTTATAAGTTTAAGACTTTTAATTATAATATAATTAATAACTGTATTTGATAGGCTCCACATTTTCCTGAATTTGATGCAAAGGTAAAATCAGCTATTCAAGCATTAGGAGGAAATGTATTTCCTAAATTAAATTGGAGTTGTCCAAAGGATGCTAATTGGATTGCTTTAAACAAATCCCTTTGTTGTTCATGTGTTACTGATATTTATCTGCTTTTAAAAAGTTCAGATTTTATTTCACATGATTTAACACAACCGTAAGTTGTTTTTTGTAATTAATTTTTTACAGTAATTAATGTTTTAAATGAATAATCTTTTTTAATATAATACAGTAAAACCTCACTTAACAAGTGTTTCGCATAATGAGCAAATCAAATTTTTAAAAATTGACTCGTTTAATGAGCGAAGTTTTGCATAACGAGTGATGAAGAGAGGAGAAGTCCTGGATTGTGTGCATGCTCCATCATGCTATTATCTGTGTGTTTTTTTTTTTTTTTCCTGCAATTCAAATTCCAGGTTGATTCATTCCATGCTAGAAGAAAAGATGACAATGATTCATGCTCCTTAACAACATATATCACATAATTTTATTTGAATAAACATTATACATAAAATACTATATTTACTTGCATATAAGACAATCTCACATATGGGACGACGTGTGATTTTAAAAAAATTAAATTTATTAATACAATTCTAATTNATTGAAATTGATCCAAGCACAGAATACAGATGTTTTGTTAAAAATAATAATTTAATAGGTATGTATTTAGTAAATTATTGATTAAAAGGTTTTTTTTAATTTTATTTGAAAAGCACATAATATATAACTTTCCTTTTTATCAAAATGATATGTAAATGTATACACAGATGCTATTTCATTTAAGATAATGTAAAAGGAGATGAAATCAGGATAGAAACTCTCATATAATATATCAAACTTAATCTGAATTAGTTAAAAACTTATTATAGGAGTTGTCAGATCTTTAAGAAAAAGAATTTCACTAAAATAGCTAATGAAACAGTTTTTTGAGATGTTCAAAGATGTCAACTCTTGATTAGCAAATCAAATACATTGGCCATTTTTTTGCTGTAATAATATAAAATTTCTCCTGCAAATTAATGATGATGTTTGGTAAGGATTATATGTTGTTAATATATATAGTGAAATAAAAGATCATAAGATATAGATTTTCAATATTATCAATTTTAATATTGTTATCTATCTCTATTACCTAAGACAAAACCTTAAAATCAGAATTGGTTTTCTTTATTTTAACAGTTTTATGAATTACATGAATTTTTTAGCATTTTTGTTGTAATTTGATGTTTGTTCTTTACTGATTCAATAAAATGTGTTTAATTAGTTTTTTAGCAAAGATTTGTGTATTAATTTAAATATTTTTATTTTTTAGTTAAATTTTATTATTAGAAGTTATATTTTTATTATGATTAATTTTTGATCTCAAGTTAGGTTTATTTTGTTTAACTATTTATAATTTTATTTAAGATTTACCCAACAATCTGGTTAGCTTAAGATATAATTTTATTTCTAATTTAATTCTCTGTTCTTGGGCCAGTTTACAAATAATAATATTCTCTCCAAAAACATGAAAGTTGTAAAAATTGGAAATTAAAGCAAACAAAAATAATACATAAATAACCATTACATTTAACAACAAAAAATATTTTTAAGTGATAAGATGTTATTCAATGAATTTATAAGTGATTTTTATAACTTCTTCCAAGAATATATTGTTAGTTTAAACAATTTAAAAACAAATGTTTGGCACAGTTTGTTAACTTCTTACATGATAAAATGTGTTAAATGTGTATTTCAACATTGTTCATGCAACTAATACTCTATAATTACTGTCAGAAGAAAAGGTCTTTAATGGAATGAAATATTTTCTACTTATTTGTGAGCCATACTGAATATATATAACATGCCAAACAAACTGCTAGATTATTTATTGAGCTATAATAAGGCTAATTTAATGATTATAAATAAAGTTTGGCTGTAGATATTACAACCGAATAAATAATCTGACAGTTTGTTTGGCATATCTATAACCCTAAGACAAAAGTATTAGACTACCTCAATTGAAAGGTAACAACAACTTCTTAAGCCCAAATACACTAAGTGAAAACAAGTAGATATGAATAATAATATGTAATCATGTACTAATACATGCATGGCCAACATATAGCCCATGGGCCGGATCCAGCCTGTTTAATGAATTTATATGGCCCACGATCAATCTTTCAATATTAGCTACTCAAGTCTGAATTGGCGGCCAGATGGCTGAACAGTCAAGGTGGCAGCCTACCGCTCTGGGAGACCCGGGTTTGAATCCGAACAGGTCGAAAAATCCCCAGGAATTTTCGGGAGGTGGTCCGTTTGGATATGTCGGGCCCCGTCCCTCACCACCCGGCAGCCCCATTGTGGGCCTGGCCGAACCCATAATGGGCCTGCTTTAAGAGGCCCTCTTAGTGCTCACAGAGCAGAAAGAGTATATAAAAAAAAGTCAACAACTCACTGTTCGTTTAGAGTTAACCCTCCACTACAAATCTTGTAAGTACAGCATAGAATGTTGATAAAGCATGATAATGTGAAAAATGTATCTAATCTCTATCTACAATTTAGTCTCTAAAGTTGTAACACCACAATGAGATCTCGCACCACCTTAAAATCTTCCTAGGGAGCCTCTGGTTCGGCCCGTGTAAAAAGTTTTCTTTCCAATTTGGCCCGGGGGCAAAAACTGTTGGCCACTCCTGTACTAAAATCTATGTATATTATTTAATATTTGAATGAGTAAATTATTGCATGTATCATAATATAAAATATCAACAAAGTTTTGCAGCAAAAGATGGAAGTATTAGACCACTCAATGCTGTGGACAAAATTATTTGACCACTGCATAAAATTTATGAGTTATGAAAATAAAATGTTAAGGCTATAGAGAATAAGCATGTAAATTAATATGAAATAATTTTTGTAAAGAATATATAATGTTTTCGGATTAGTTGCTGAAAGAAAGATCATAAGTATGGCCCATGGAAAGGAGCTTTCAGATGATATTAAGAGGAGAATAATAACATTACACAATAAACAAAAGTCCCAAAGAAAAATGGCTGAATAACTTAAGATTAGTGAAACAGCTGTGCAATATGTACTCAACAAATTTAAAGCTGCAGGAAGTATCAAGAACAAGAAAACAACAAAGAGACAAGATAGAATATTGTAAAGCAGAGAATCAGCTCAACTCGGGAAATGGAAAATGGATGGAGGAAATATGATGTCACTGTTTCTGCAAAAATAGTGTACTTGTTTGAAATCAATCTACATCTCATGTAAAACAAAAACCAAGTTTTTTTTAACATAATAAGTAAAATGCTGGTTGACCTGGGCAAATAAGCACAAACATTGGACTACTAATGACTGGAACCAAGTTATATTTTTTAACAAGTGTTGTATTGCTTAGGATATGGATTGTCACCATATCAAAATTTGGTGACAATCTGAAGAGAAATTTAAAAATGATTGTCTCTGCATGGGTGTGAAATTTCCATTATCTGAGATGATGTGGAGATAGGAAAAATGTTCATCTGTAATGGAACAATAAATGGTAAGGCAAACATTAACATTTTAACCTATCCCATGTTGAAATTTTTCTCTATTGTGTGTGGCTGCCATGTTGAATTTTTGTCGATGTTAAGCTTAACAAAAAAAAATTGTTTTTTTTTTTTAAATAATAATAGTGGCTTCTATATTGTTAAAAATTATTTTTTTATTTTGCACAAACAAAATAAATAAAATAAATATATTGAAAAATACAAAAACAAAAAACATTATACTGTGTATTTCTTGTTTGGATTTGGCCTGCATATAGCCCTGACTTTAACCCAATAGAAAACCTATGAGCTATTTTGAAGAGAAAGGTCAGAAAAGCTGTCCTCTGTACTAAAGAGAAATTGAAAGATGCAATTCAACTATTCTGGTCTGAAATATATTTTAAGGTGTGCCTTAAGACATATTTAATTTAATTCAAAAAGTGTTACTATGGATCAAGGCTGTTTTAAAAACAAAAGGAGGTCCAATCATATTTTAGAAAAGATGGTCTAATAATTATGTCTTTGATTTCTTTTTGCTTTATATTTTTGTAATGTAAATATGCAACAAGTAATGCATTAAAATATTGAATAAATCTCTAAAGACAGTGAATCATTGTGTATTATTATATTCATCTCTGCTTTTTTTGTATAGTAAATTCAGGCTTAAAAAGTTGTGCATTACATTTCAATTGGAGGGGTCTAATACTTTTGTCTTAGGGTTGTAATAGAATCAGGTTGGTGTTTATGTTGTTATGAATACATATAACTGTAGCAAAGCTCTCTCTCAATTATTTTATAATATTATTGATTGATGTAAATTGATTGGTTTTAGCTGTGTGTTAACATCAAATATTAAGAAGTAGAACACATTTTATAATTAAAATTTGAGATAAAATCTTTATCTTAAAAAAAGATAAAATTTAAATTTCAAATTTTGTACTAAAAATATATATTATTCATTGATATAATTGAAAAAATAATACAAAAACTATAAACATCTGTAAGCCTGATGATTATATTAAAGTGAAACAATCATCAAATTAAACCCAATTTAATCTTGTGATTGATTGGCTTTTATACAAAAATTAAGATTTGTTTAGTGATCTAGCTAAAAATTGTTTAAATAAAAATTTTAGATTAATACAATGTAATATTTGATAGTCTGATAAACCATTAGAATAGGAGAATGAGATGATTATAATTTTCACATATGATAAAATGATGTAAGTTTCAAAATTTTAATTTTTTTTATATTATGCTTTTAATTTTGATATGTCCTATACAGGTATACCTCGACTTACGTTGTTTTGAGTTACATCATTCCCGATTATATGTCGTTTGTCAAGAAAGTATATGGAAAAATAAAAATCAAGTTCAAGTCATTTTATTCAACTTTATGTCTGTCTGTCACAAATATTGAAGTCGTAATATCACTAGAAAAGCGTTTAAAGCACATAAAATTATATTAAAATATATACATTTACAAGTATGTACTGTATTTACATTACATGCATTCGTAAATTTAGATTACTTTTTTCTGTACTATATTAAAAACTAAAATTTATTTATTTGTAAGCTTAAAATAGATCCTTATTAACCATATATTATTAAAAAATGCATTAATAAATAAAATACAGAACCAGGAATAATAATTTA